TCAGCCCCTAAGTCCTGTTGATTCTTCTGTGAAAACATCTCTTAACTTCATTCTCACAGTCACCATCAAAGATACAAAGAGTTAATAGGAAGCAAAAGATCTTCATCCCTGTCCTTTTCCTTTCTCACACTAACAAAAGAGGACAACCTCCTCTTCCAAGTTATAGTGACTGTAATTACATAAATTTAGTTAGACCAATGCTTTTCGACCTGTCATCCTCAAATTGATGTCGCCATTCCCACATCCAAGAACTTTGTTCAGGTAGGTATGTCTTCTCTTCATTTCAGGCCCTTTCCATATCATGGCTAGACTATTGCAGGATCCTCCTATTTGGTCCACGTAACTCTAGTCTCTCCCTCTTTTTTCCTTTTTACCCCTATCTTTTTCTTTTATGTTGTAAGACTGTCCTTTATAAAATACTATTTTCATTATGTTATTGCATCCTTGAGAACCTATGCTGGATTATGAACTATTACCTATCACATCTAAATTTCTATGCTTGCTACTTAAGACCTCTACAAATGGGTCCAAAACTACCTAGCCAGTGTCCTACCAGTCCTCAGTATGAACCTTTATTCTGGAGATACCAGTTTCTTTACTGTTGCCCACTTCAAAAGCTCATTCTAGCTTTTAAAGCTCTGTTCATGCATATCCTTTTGCCTAAAATATACTCCTTGGTATATTCAACTTCTTCAAATGCTACCTATCTGTTAAGACTAGACACACTTTTCACTTCTCTTATAAAGTCTTCTATAGGTCCACCCCATGCTGATCTCTGCCTTTTCTGATTTCTCATAGTGATTATCATGTACACCAAATAATCTAACATCTCATCAGCCATTCCTTCATGTTCCTTTCTAATTGTTTCCTAAACAATTCTTATCTCCCTTAATTAAGTAGACTGTAAGTTCCTTGAAGGCAGAAGATAAATTCTTAATATTAACTCTTGTATCTCTCATACTATCTAACTGGTGATGGGCTCTCAATAAATACTTGCTACTTGATTGATTGACAATGTAGAGCAAAGCTGCTGAATACCTTGGAACTGAAAATGAAATTGCAACCAAAGAAGAATCTCAACACACTGAAAACTAGAGAATTGGCTTTCTAACTCAGAGATCCTCAGCCTTTTTCACATAAAAATTAAAGAAAATTTTAATATTTGTGTGATATGGGATGAAAGGATAAGGCAACCAAGGGTGAGTAATTGGGTACTCTAGCCACCATGGAAGCTGAGAGAATGTTATTGCAGCATTCTGTAAACCCACGGACGTTAGTAGTTTGGCTGACAAGCTCTGATCTAAATGACTTCTGCTATGCAGCAATGGCCAAAAAAAAAAAAAAATGTCTGGGTGGAATATTAAAAGGACCATTGGCCAACACAAAGCATTAAAGTAAAGGCATGCCTTGGAGATACTATGGTTCCAGAACACTATAATAAAGCAAATATTGTAAAAAAGTGAGTCACACGAATTTTTTGGTTTCCCAGTGCATATAAAAGTTATTTTTACACTATTCTGTAGTCTGTAGTCTATTAAGTGTGCAATAGCATTATGTCTAAAAAAGCAATGTATATACACTAATTAAAAAACGCTTTATTGCGAAAAAATGCTAACAATCATCTGAGCCTTAAGCAAATTGTAATCTTTTTGCTGGTAGAAGATTTTTCCTCAATGTTGATGGCTACTGACTAATCAGGGTGGTTGTTGCTGAAGGCTGGGAAGGCTGGGAAGGCTGGGGTAGCTGTGGCAATTTTTGAAAAAAGGACAATGAAGTTTCTCACATCGATTGACTTTTGCTTTCGTGAAAGATTTCTCTATAGCATGTGATGCTGTTTGATAGCATTTTAGCCATAGAACTTTTTTTTTTTATATACAGAGTCTTACTCTGTTACCTGGGCTAGGGTGCAGTGGCATCATAATAGCTCACTGCAACCTCAAATTCCTGGGTTCAAGTGATCCTCCTGCCTCAGCCTCCCAAGTAGCTGGGACTATAGGCATGCACCACCACACCCAGTTAAAGTTTTCTACTTTTTGTAGAGTCTTGCTCTTGCTAGGCTGTTATGGAACTCCTGGCCTCAAGCAATCCTCCTGCCTTGGCCTCCCAAAGTGTTAGGATTACAGGCGTGAGCCACCATGCCAAGCCAAACTTATTTTAAAATTGGAGTCAATCCTCTCCAACCTTGCCACTCCTTTATCAACTAAGTTTATATAATATTCTAAATCCTTTGCTGTCCTTGCCATAAGGTTCACAGCATCTTCACCAGGAGTAGATTCTATCTCAAGAAACCACCTCTTGGCTCATCCACAAGAAGAAACTCCTCATCCATTCAAGTTTTATCATGAGATTGCAGCAATTCAGTCACAGCTTCAGGCTCCACTTCTAATTCCACTTCTTTTGCTATTTCTACCACATCTGCAGTTACTTCCTCCACTGAAGTCTTAAAACCCCTCTAAGTCATCCGTGAGCATTGGAAATCAACTTCTTCCAAATGCCTACTCATGTGGATATTTTGACCTCCTCCCATCAACCACAAATGTTCTTAACGGCATCTAGAATGGTGACTCCTTTCCAGAAGGTTTCCAATTGACATTGCCATATCCATCAGAGGAATCACTATCTATGGCAGCTACAGCCTTATAAAATATATTTCTCAAATAATAAGAGTTGAAGGTCAAAATTACTCCTTGATCCACTGGCTGTGGAACAGATTTTGTGTTGGCAGGCATGACATTTATTTCTTTGTACATCTCCAGAAGAGCTCTTGGGTGACCAGATGCATTGTCAATGAGCAGTAATACTTGAAAGCAATCTTTCTTTCTGAGCAGTAGGTCTCAAAAGTGAACTTAATATATTCAGTAAACCATGCTGCAAACAGATGTGCTGTTACTCAGGCTTTGTTGTTCTATGTATAAAGCACAGGCAAAGTAGATTTAGCTTAATTCTTAAGAGCCCTAGGATTTGGGGAATGATAAATGAGCACTGGCTTCAATTTAAAGTCACTACCTGCATTATCCCTTAACAAGATAGATTGTCAGCCTGTCCTTTGAAGCCAGGCATTGACTTCTCCTCTCTAGCTATGTGTCTTAGATGGCATCTTCTTCCATTGAAAATCTGTTGTTTAGTGTAGCCACCTTCATCAGTGATCTTAGATCTTCTGGTTAACTTGGTGCCGCTTCTCCATCAATCAGCACTTGCTGCTTCACCTTGCACTTTCATATTATGGAAATGGCTTCCTTCCTTAAGCCTCGTGAACCAACCTCTGCTAGCTTCCAGCTTTTCTTCTGCAGCTTCTTCACCTCTCTCAGCCTTTGTGGAATTTAAGAGAGTTAAGGCCTGGCTCTGGATTAGACTTTGTTTTAAGGGAATGTTATGGCTGGTTGGAGTTTCTATCCAGACCACTAAAACTTTCTCCATATCAGCAAGAAGGCTGTTTTGCTTTATCATTCATGTGTTTACTGGAGTAGCACTTTTAATTTCCTTTAAGAATGTTCCGTTTGCATTCACGGCTTGGCTAACTGGTGCAAGTTGGCCTATCTCAGCTTTTGACATGCCTTCCTCACTAAGCTTCATCATTTCTAGCTTTTGATTTAAAGTGAGAGATGTTAGAGTCTACCATTCACTTGAACACTGTGAGGCCACTGTAGAGTAATTAATTAGCTTAATTTCAACATTGTCATTTCTCAGGGAATAGGGAGGCCAAAAAAGAAGGAGAGAGATAGGGGAATGGGCCGTTGGTGGAGCAGTCAGAACACACACAACATTTATTATTAACTGCTGTCTTATATGGGCATAGCTTATGGTGCCCCAAAATTATTACAATGGTAGCATCAAAGGTCACTTATCACAGATCAGATATAATAATAATGAAAAAAGTTCAAAATATTGTGAGAATCACCCAAATGTGACACAGACTGTGGTACATGCTGTTGGAAAAATGGCACCAATAGACTTACTTCAACACAGGTTGCCACAAACTTTCAATTTGTTAAAAGCACAATATCTGTGAGGCATAATAAAACAAGATATGCCTGCATATGAAACAAAAAGAACTAAAGAAAAAGTCTAAACAAACAAAAAGAACGGAATCTGTCACAAAAAATAGGAGGGCCTCTTTTCTATATTACCAGAGGTGCTTTATATAGGAATTTTATCTGTTAAAAAATGTTTAACTGAGCACTGTGGCTCACGCCTGTAATCCCAGCACTTTGGGAGGCCAAGAAAGGATGACTGCTTGAGCTTAGGAGTTCCAGGCCAGGCTGGGCAACATAACAAGACCTCATCTCTAAAAAAAAAATATGTTTTCACTCATTCAGTGTATTGACTGTACCCTCCTTGTAAAACAGACTCTGCATATTGGTCTGTCTTCTGTTTATTACAGTACCTGTAATAATTCTTGTCGCTGTCCAGACTTGGAATATTGTATGCATCTAATTAAAAAGAAAAAAGCAAATATTCATCTACATTAAAAAGAAAAAAATGCAAACATATTAATGACTAAAGAAAAATGACAACTCTTTTTATAACACTTTTTTTTTCATCCAAGGTAGAGCCATACTTTCATTTATCATCCAGCAAACAGTGGGAAGACTAGGGAAGGGACCCAACCTGGACACCCTCCCATTATTGCCATAGGTTCCAGTTTCTTCCCCAGTCTAGAGGGCCTAGAGGCACTTAGCCTAGGGAAAGCGTGGACCAGGCCTCTGGCCCTTGGGATGGAGCAGGGTCCAGATGGCTCTGGCCTTAGCACCAACTCATGAACAACCCCCCACCCCACCAGCCTGTCTCCCTAGGGCCACTGAGCCCCTCTTGGAGCCAGGCTGAATAGACTCTAGGCTGCTGGGCCCAGCTCCAAGCAGGCTGGACTCCAAGTTCTAGACCCCAGGCTGGCTGAACTCTGGAATACTGATTCCAGGCACTGAGTGGGATAGACTTAGGTACCAGGCTCTAGGCTAAGCCAGAGGCCTTCAGGACTACAGCAAGGTAGCTTTCCTCATGGCTAGGCTTCTGGGGCAGTAGAGCCTTCTCAAGACATGAGCCAGGGCTGGAGTTGCAACTGGATTTGGAGAGATAGTCAACATTGGTAGAGTGAGATTGGCAGGTACAGCAGAGAATGACCCAGAGCAGCAGCAGCAAAGAGACTTTGAGGCCATTGCAGATGATGGCAGTGAGGGGCCCCTGAGTGATGGCTCCTCCCATGCAGGCAGCACCCTCAGCCCAACAAAGACAGCAGAGCTGCCTCAATGGCCAGGCCCATGCTGAGGTGGGACTCTGGTATGGCTGGCATTCCAACGCGGCTCAATGATTCCTGGGCAGTAGAGATATCTACCTGCAGTCCTGAGCCTAAGTAGAGCCCCGTGCATGCCTGCAGGAGGGTCTGGGGCAGCCAAATACTCAGAGACAACTGAAGCTTGGGAGCCTGCAGGCCAGGTAGGGAAGGCAGCAGAAGGCCAGCAGGGGCAAGTTGGCTCTCCCTGCTGTCACTCCCCGCAAGCTCACAGACTCAGCAGACCATGCAGCCCCACCAGGCTGCCTCTGCCCTCTTTCTGGAACACTCTAAATAGTAGAGTGCCAATCAATTAGATTGATGCTTTGAAAAACTTGAGAGCTTAACAGAATTCAGAATATCTGTGAACTTATTTAAGGCACCTAGTATACTGGAGAATTACAGATACTTTGAATTATGTACCATTCAGAATAAATCAATTTGAAGTTATAAGATTGGAATGTTGTTGTGGCTGCTGTTTTAATCATGCAATTCCAGAAGCCAGCAAAAAATGGATTCATGCCTAATGTATGGATCAAATAAAGTAGAGAAAGTGCTTAACTGATAAGAAAGTTAACCTTTATAAAACAAACAAATCTACCATCAGGACTCTATTGGAGAAGAGTTCATTTCCACACTATTAATAATATAATTATGATAATCTAAAAAAGGGAAGGGATTATCCATTTCTCTGCTCATGTCTATGGAGATTTGTTTGCCATTTAAAATTTTTTAAATTTATATACAGTAAAATTCATTCTTTGTGATGTACAGTAAAATTTATTCTTTGTGATGTACAGTTCTATGGCTTTTGGCAAATATATAGTCATGTATCTACCACCACAATAAAAATACAGAATAGTTCCATCGCCTCCAAAAATTCTTTCATGTTGCCTCTTTGTTGTCTGTCTCTCCCCACATCCCCAACCCCTGACAACTACAATCTGTTTTGCCTTTTCCTATCACATAAGTGGAATCATACAGTACGCAGACTTATGGTTTAACTTCTTTCACTTCGCAAAATGTAAATTTTTAAAAACATCAGCCTGCATGAGTTTTGCTAGAAGCTTTTCTTCCATGTAAAGAAGAAAGTACCATACCAACTGTCGTTTCAAAGGCTAACAATGACATCTGAAGTTTTAAAATCACATTATTTTAAATTTGTATTTCAGAGCTGAGGCCTTCAGTATATCTACACATATGTTACAATGTCCCATTTTATAGTTTTACAATCTAAACTGGAATATCTAAATTCCTGAAGGAAAAAAATCTTTATAATAAAGATATAATCTTTATTATATCTGGGTTATGACTCTTACCATGATTTCCTTTGATATCCAGCCACTTGGTTTTTTCCACGACCTTTGTCTTCTTCAGAATACTCTGGTAAGTTTGCCATTCTACCTCATGCTGCCTGGATCCCCACTGTTCCTTTGTTTTGGCATCTGTCAGGTCTCCTGTAGGTTTACATGAGAATTGAATCACAATGCAAAATAAACTCTAGGGAGTTCAAATTTTTTAGATAAGCACACTGAAGGAACAAAGATAGAGAAAGTATTCAACATGTATAAGCACAACCACTTATGAGTCCACCTATGTCCAAAGCAAGCCATCTAAACTAACGAGATTTTCTCAGCAAGGATTATGTTTCTTCTAGGTTAGCAACTGCCTATTTAACCTCCTGTGATATTAGAAATGGGTTGTGGGGAAAAAAAAATCTTTAAAGAGAGCAGAACAAAATGCATCAACAGACTGATAAAATGAAAATCTTTTATTAGAAATTACAACACTCTGGGCAGGTGCCTAACATCATATTTTCCAAACTCCAAATCAGGATATGTGATTTGACCAAGTATTATTTTTACAGCAAGAAGCAATCTGGCAGGTCTAATATGGACAATGAAATACCACAATTTATAGGAGACTAAACAGAATACTTGAAATGGGGCTTCATCCATTAAATGAGGACTGATACCCCATCATATCAGCAGAGGTATTTCAGTAAGGTGGATGGGAGGTGACTCTCCCAATAAACAAGGTAGATGCTCCTTTAGCTGTTTCTCCCCGCTACAGTTTGGAAGCAAATGATCAAGGGTTTAAAGAGTCTAGGAAACCCAAATCACGAAAGTATCAAGCAATAAAGAAAAAGTGCCCTGAGTCACTTGAAGCCTCAAGCAACTGAAAATATAAGATTAACTAACAATGTAAAGAAAATGGAAACTTTAGCAAAATAAGAGAACCTTTGATTCATAAAGAACTTTCCCTAATTCTCTCTCAAATCCAGAACTGCAACCACAAAAAACAGATACAAATATAACAGACAACACATTGACATGAGAATCACGAGCCTTGCTTTTACTGCGTTGACAAAACCTTGCTACAGCAAATCATTTTGCCTGGATCTTGACTCAGTTATCCGCAGGCAAAGAAAATTATAATGTACCATCTCCTGTACCTCACAGGGCTCACCTGGGGCTGTGGCTATAGTGTTCCCAACATGCCCAAAGTGAAAAGCTGCAGCCCTGGCTAGCATTCTACCATCCAGACCACAGAACACCATCACAGCACGGCAATCCACCCTACCTGTTGCTAGGACGAGAGCTGGTTGAATGATGTCAATAGTTTCAGAACAGAACTTCTCTAAGTCTACCGCTCTGCCTGGATCTCGAAACCTGCTCAGGTGAATGTCGGATATCTGCCGAAAGCAGGTATTGAACAGAGAGATCTGAGTCAGGAAAACGCAGCATGGGCAGAGAAGGCCCAGCGGCTCTCTCAGGCAGAAGGAAAAGGCAAAGATGCAGCGCATCAACGAACCCCTCCCAGGGAAGAACCGAGCCCAGGCCAGACTAGACAGACCCTTGAGTTACAACCTGACTGAGGCCCCCAGCCTGGAGTGTGGGGCCCAAACAGGCGCGCGTCGCGCCCCCACAGAAACCGCCAGGGTCTCACCGCCCCGTGCCCTCCCTGCGCCTGCCCCCCGCGGGGCTTCCAGCCGCATCACCTGCAGGCCCCAAAAGATGTTGCCGTCTCCGGGTCCGGGCGCTGGGTGCGGCCTCCGGTGGGGCGCGGGGTGGGGCAGCGCCGAGGGCTGGCCGGCCAGGCCGTAGTGTTCCAAGAGCATCGCGGCTAGCGCAGCAGCAGCCAACCCCGCGACCACCCTCAGGGCCAGCGCTGCAGCCATCCCGCCAGCCCGCCGGGGCGCGGCTCTCACTGGTCCGCGGCCGGACTGCGCGGCGCTCCTGGGAGGCACTCTGCCCGCACTTCCGGACTCTATAGTCTCGGGGTCACGGCGGGACTTGGGACCTGGGATGCTGCGCTTGTCAGCCACAGCGGGGCACCTGCCGCCCTCTGGCCGTTCGCGTCTCCGGGCTTGGTTTGCAAATGTAATGCGGGCAAAGGAAAGAAAACCGAGACTGCCAATGACGATTGCCGAGTGGTGGGAGGGAAGGAGCCCTGGACCTGTATCCTGGAGGCGAGGGCTGGAGTTCTGGCTCTGCCTTAATCAATCGTTCCTGACCTCAGTGGGTCGGTCTCCTGACCCGTAAAACGCAAGTTATAATGCATTCCATGGGTACTTTGCAGGGTGGTTGTTAGAACCAAAATGAGTATGTATGAAGACGCCTTTTAAATTGCCTTACAAATGTGTTGGGTGCCTTTCTCTGGCCCCTTCTGATTATTAACGTGCCTCTGTGAGTTTTCTGTAGACGTAATTCCTATGTTTTGTGAAAGTTATTATTTACTTAACCTGATTTCATAATATTGCAACACAGTGATATACCATTCATTTAATAAATATTAAACACTTATATGGACTAGGCACAGGAAAAGAATTAGATTTGGCCCAGCCTTAATTTATCTAACTACTCCCTTATTGTTGAATTTTTGGATTATTATGTGTTGCTGTTCTGAATAACTATTTTCGTATAAATAGTGCTTTTAAAAAAATTCCCTTTGAGTTATTTCCTTGGGGTATGTTGCCAGTGTTGGATTTATGCCAATTTTTTTGGAGTACCTTTAGAATGCAAGATATTAATCTAACTAGAAAACATAAAGAAACAAGAGTAGATAAAGAGCCAGGGTTCATTATCTTAGGAGCTCATGTAGGAGAGAGAAATACACAAATAAGTTTAATATAAGAACAATATGGTATTTGCCACAAGAGACAACCAAATATAAAAGGCTGGGGAAGATTAATACTGGGAGAGGAGTCATCAATTTACCAGACTTCAAGCTATACTACAAGGCTATAGTAACCAAAACAGCATGGTACTGGCATAAGAACAGAGACATCGACCAATAGAATAGAACCAAGAACCTGGATATAAATCATCATCATATATTTTTAGCCCAGTTAGACTCAAAGAAAAAATAAAACTATCCTCATATAGCCATCTAATCTTTGACAAAGCAGACAAAAACATACACTGGGGAAAAGAATGCTTATTCAATAAATTGTGCTGGTAAAATTGGATAGCCACATGTAGAAGACAGGATCCACACCTTTCACCTCTCAAAAAAACCAACTCATCATGGATAACAGACTTAAACCTAAGGGATGAAACTATAAGAATTTTAGAAGAAGATGTTGGAAAAACTCTTATAGAC